GGCGGCGATCGGGGCGGGGCGCGGGGGCGGTGGCAGGGCAGAAGGCGCCGCCGCCGCCGCTACCGGACGGGAGGGCCTTGGGGGGTTCGGGGGACGGGGGAGGGGTGGGACGGGCGCCGGCGGCGGAAGTCCCGCTTCTCGGGATGCCGCTGGAGCTACGATGGCGGAGGCAGCGAGAGCCGGGGAACGCGGGGGCTCGGGGAACAACCAGCGCAGCAGCAGGCGTGCCCAGAGGGCGAACGGCGCCAGCAAGGCGCTCATGGGGCGCGGCAATGGCGGCGGTGGGGTGGCCGGCGGTGGTGGAAGGGCGAACGGCGTGCCGCAGCACGGCCCGTCGGCGAACGGGGTTCCGCCGCATCATCGGGCGTCTCCGGCTCTGAACTACCACGGCCAAGCGGGCGCCTCGGCCCGCCAAGCACGTGGTGTCGGCACCGGCACCGGCGGGGCTAGCGTCGTCCCCCCCTCCCAGCAGCCTCTGAGCAACAACGTCCGGGGTTGGTCAGAGGGGCGACATCATCAGCCCCAGCAGCGGGACCAGCAGCAGCACGGTCGCGGTGGCCATCCGCTTGTGGCGGGGCAAGGCCCGTGGTCTATGGAAGCCCCGCCACCACCAGCCAGGGGAACGGCGACGACGGTGGCGGCCGTCATCAATGGCGGGGGTTCGGGGGCGGGCGTGGGGCCACCGCCGCCGCCCTCGCTGGTAACGGCGATGCCCTCCCTCCCCGCTCCTCCGATGTTCCCGCCAGACTCCCCGGAGTACCTGTGCGACCTCGCCAACGCGCTGAGCTCCACGCCGCCGCCGCCGCCGCCGCCGCCGCCTCCCCTGTTCACCGGCCATCACAACCACCACCACCAGCACCACCACCAGCCGTCCGCAGTGACCCCCCCGCTAGGCCCTTCCCGTGTTGTCGGCGGCGGCGGCAACGGGCTGTTTGGAGGCGGAACCGGGAGCGGAGGAGGAGATTTCACGCCAAAGCAGAATAGAATCGGAATCGCAGATTTCACGCCGAGGCAGAACGGCGGCAGCAGCAGCTCGACGGTGTCCCCGTTCTTGAGCCCCGGGCAGTCGAAGATTCTGGCGGACCCGTCCCTCGACGTGGACATCCAGGACATTTGCGCCGACCCCGACCTAAACGCCGATGCCCCGGCCTTCGTACCCGGGGGGTACTGACAATGGGTAATGACAAGGGCAACGGCAAGGAGGGGTGGGCGGGCGGGGGACGTTTGTCCCCTCCGCAAGAGGCACAAGAGCTGTGTGCTTCGAACCTAGCATCGTGGATTTTTTTCCTGTGTTTTTTGGGCACCCTCGAGCGGAGCGACGCCGGCGGCGGGCGCAAGGCTGGTTTCAAGCACCGGCTGACCCACCTAGCTTTCCGGCAAGCGACCGGGCGTCAACCCCCCCCCCCCCGACCCCCCCCCCCGGCCTGTTATGTTCGACCCCCCCCTATCTGCACACCCGGAGTGGCAGAAATTGCGCCGCCTGTCCGCCGAGCGAACCGTTTTTCGCCCGACAGATCACTGCTGCTGCACGGAAGTCTGGCGCCACGAGTCGTCTCTCGCGTCCTTGGAGCTTGAGGCGGGGTGTTGGCGTTGTGAACCTTTTGGCGTGCGCACCGGTTTGTGTTGCAGCAGCGGCACGGGCTCATCGTGGCGAGGCCGGGCTGCACACGAGGAAGGACGCCTTTATTGCTGGGGCCACGCCTGCCTTCCTTGGCGTCCATGCCATGTATCGGGGTAGTTGACCGGGGGGGGGGGGGTTCTGGCGTTTTGCTTGCCGTTTTTCTGCGGTCGACGTCCATCTCTTTGGGAGAGAGATCGAGCGTGGGTAGATCCAACCGCACGGAGGGGGGCCATGGCGCGTTCTCGAAGGGTACATTTTTGCTGGCGCGGGCGAGCTCCCGTCTCTCCCTACAAGGATCCTCCTCTTAAGGATATTTAATAGTAACGTAGATACCGTTTGGGCATCACCACAGTAGAGCCGCGGCTGGTGCCGCTGGGTCCTCAACGACGAGTGTCTTGTGCCCCGAGCGCGCCAGTTTTTTATTTTTAGTTCGGCGCGCCGTGTGAATTGATGCCTGACCTCGTCGTGGCTCGGAGAGTTGGGCCGGTGACGACGGGGGCGAACGCCCCCCGGACAGTAGTAAATATGACGCCGCGCCCCCTGTGTTCGTCAAGCTGCGGAAGGCGGCGGCGGCGGCGGCGGCGGCGGGCGGCAGCGGTAGCGGCTCGCAAGCCATAATCGATCTCATCGGAAAACGTCCGGCCAGGCGCGACCTCGTCGAATGTTGCGGCGGATTCGGGGGCGGGGGCGGCCGCCAACCATTCTCTCGGCTCTTCTCCGAGACCAGACGCTGCTGCAGTCGAAGGGTGTCGCTTGCCTTGCGGCCACGGTGGCGGCGGCGGGTTCTCGCGGGGTTTATAGTAAGTAGAACTGTTAGGGTCCTGCCCTCTAGGTTCTGGGAGGAGGGCGAGGAGCGCTAGGTCCTACGTATGCGTAGGTATGGTGGCGTTTTTGTTTACTGCGCGTGTGCTTTCGGAGCGCGTTGGCGTGGCGTGCTCAAGCGCACTTGTTTCCCTGTGGTTTGTTGGATTTGTTTGCTCTCCCAGACGACATGGTCGAGGCCTAGCTGTAGACAGGGGAGGGGACGGACCATCCGGTGTACAGCAGGGAGTTTGTATGGCACAGATGGCGTATTTTGGTTGCTCGACGCGGCGATGTTTTCTGTCTCTTGCAAACCAACTGTGTTCGCCCTTGCGGGCGGCACTCCAGATAGCGCGGGGTATAAGGAGAGTGCGGGGAAGGTGTCTTACGTGGAACGAACCGCAGTCCCCCCGGTAAGAACGGGACCAATGTGCAAGTGGACCGCGCAAGTTTTTGGGACGGACGCCCACTGGGTGCATGGGGTGAAAGTTATCATTTAGTTAGAGCACACGCGAGTAAGACAGTGGGTGTATCCGTTTCGACCCGACTTAGCTTTGCGTTTCTGTGCTGCGTGCCCGGTCATGCCGTGTCTCGCCCTCAAATCTGTATGTACGGGCGACGCTGTTTTGGTTACCGTTGTTGTGTGATACTGCGCCAACGGGTGGGTATGGAACCGGCTAGCTGGTGCCTGCCGTAAGGTAAGTAAGCTGGAAAAGAAAGCGCTGGTATGGTAGCGAGTCGGCGACAGTCGGTTGTACGATTGGCTGCATCACCGCAGCTGCTTGCTGCTGCTGCTGCCGCTGCTGCCTTGTCTCCGGCAGTTAATGGTCACACTTTGAGACCGTGGGTGGCCAGGCAGAATACACCATCCGATCTCACACAACCAACACTAGTAGCGCAGTGAGAGCTGAGACAGGCTTTCTTTGTCGATAGACCGGGTTAGTTTTAGGATGGAGAAGGTGGCGTCGAAGTACCCCACCCAAGCACGGGAGCTTGTCGCCGTTTTGTCACCGCCAGTGTTCGGGATACCGGCGGGTGGGCGGGCGAAAGTTAGACAACACATAGTAACAGGCAGGTTGTTGGCGGAGGGGGTGCATGCAAGTACGTCAGACTCTGTGGCGGTATTTTGCAGCTAAGGTAGAGACGATAGCTGCTCCACTCGGTGCGTAGATGCTACAACATCTTGACATCACGGGACGGGGGGACGACGGAAAGGAGGGGATGCATGGACGGATACATCCCAGCAGGGATGGATGGGGAAAGGAACGTGGAGGAGTCAATATATCGTCGTATGTGGCACGCACGCGTGCTGCATTCCTCCGTCGGTCTATCGCCCAGCCCACGATGCATTCATTCCCGCTGTCCTCATCGTTTTCCACGGGAGAGTTAGAGTTGAGTGTGTATGTATTGGCTGATTGATTATCGCTCCGTCTGTTGACTGATTGTCGTCCCGTACCCCCCTCTACCCGGCGTTGCCGGCCTTCGCATGTATGTATGATGTGAGTGGATACCGAGAGAGGTGGACGTATGTAGAACAAGCGCCCGCACCGGAGTGATGATGTCCCCTCAAGTCGGCAGTGATTGTGTCGAATGCCGCCCTTCTTTCTGTGATCGATTGGTAATGATAAGTGTAGGGGAGAGAGCAGAGAGAGAGAAAGAAACCATGGGGGGGTAGGTAGGGTATGAAATGCCTTTGGGTTATTTGGATGATCGGACTTTGCGTAGACAAGATACAAATGTTTTCTTTGTCCATCGTAGCCGGAACACAGGAATAAATGTTCCACTTTGCACTCGCCAGGTCGCTGGGGCATGCAGAATGAATAATAATAACAACGCGGCTTGAGTTGAGGCCGGTGCCTACCCCAGTAGTCTCGTTCCAAAAGCAACTCACCGAAAACGACTGGTATACGCAGACACTTCATCAACCTCTTCCTTGCTACAACATGATGTTTTGCAGTGTTCTTTATTTTCGTCCCTCGACTGATCGGGGTCACAAACAAACATCGACCACCTTTCTGTCAAGAGAAAAGTAAATAGCCGTGTTGCGTGTTTTCGTGTTTCCCCACAAAAGCGGGGGCTTCTGACTTCGGTGTGGCGGAACGCTCGAGTTTGTCCGCTGTCCATCTAGCTGTGGCCTTTCGACGCGCGGCCGGACGTCTGTCTCTCGCTTATAGACGTACGACAAACTAAGCTGTTACGTCCGTTCGACCTCCGGATTTCGACTTCGCAAAACCATGCCTTGATGGCGGGCATCGTTTCAGAAAGCAAGAGGCCGTGTCCACCTCTGCCAATCGGGTAGAATCATCGCTAGAGATCGGCAAACCACCGCATGATATGAAGGACGTCAAGGTGGATGGGCTGCAACTAATTATCGTCGAATGAAGAACTAACTGGACTGTTTCGACTTGCAACACACACACGCGATACAAAGCCACATCATACTCTGCTCTTGACGGTAAAACCGTCTTCGATATTCTGGTAGGTTGGAAGGGGCAGCAGCAGCATGTACTTCAGTTACGAAAAATATGGCTGGAGCGCCCCTCGTGGAATGAATGTCTCTCAATTATTATTTCTTGACAGGTTCGGCAGTGGTGGTGGTTATCCTGCTCCATGCTGCTTCAAATATCATCAACCAATAGCAAAAACCTTCGCTGCTTGAGTCACATCGAAGGCGGCTGACGCAGCGGTTGGTGTTTTCCCTCCTTCCTCAGGGCCTCTATTAGCGGAACTGGCTCTCACTCGACTCGGGGTCTCTACTTCTCACGCCGTTTGTTACTGTTCAGTGCGGCTCAACACCCCACCGTGGGGGTAGATAAGCCTCCCTGCGCTGCCCGGGCTTTTTACCTGTCCCAAAGGGGCTTTGCTTGCCTTTCCCTGTTTCAACTCAACAACTCCGACCAGGGGTCAAACACAAGAAACAGGGTACCATATCATAGGTTCATCCTCGTCATGAGACACCCGTCAACACAAACAGCATTCAAAACGTGTTCGGCTATCCCACGACAACGGGAAGCAAGAAGGCACAAAAACGAACCGTAACAAGGTACCAGCCACCTCGTTCCGAGGGAACACTGGCGGCGTGAAGGAAAAACTTTGGCCTCGAAGAAGCCCACAACCTGACTCTTCTTCACTTCACGATGACGCCATGGCTTCCTCTTCCAAGCAGCGGGGGCACGTGCAAAAGAAACCGTAATCCTCTAGTGCCTCCCTTCTCTCGACAAGACCCATTTCTCTGGTGACGTAGCTCTGTGTCAGCTCCTCCCCGGCGGGCACGTCTTCCAAAAGCACCAGTTGCGCAACCAGGGGATCAGCGCTCCCGGCACCCGCACCCGCCGCCTTTTCAGGGTCCGCCGTAGCCTTCTTTTCTCGCCTTCTCCCCGGGTAGCGCACGAGGCAGTTGGGCCGACACGAGTGGTTCATGCAACAGATGAGGGGGTACAGGGCGGTGCCGTCGAGTGGGGGGAACAACGACACGACCTCCTCCCCCTCCTCACCGCCACCGTCCATCGCAACCTTGAGTATCGTCTCGGCCTCCCCTGGGCCCATCCCTGACCCTTCTAACGCATCATCTCCAGCAACAAATGTTCTGGGCGACACGCGACAGATCATCGGTAGATCACCCTCATCCTCATCCTCCCCCTCCTCTTCCTCATACTCGTCGTCCATCACTTCGCCCACCAGCTGCGCTACCTCCCCCAGCACCTCCCGCGAGATTCCTCTCGTAGCATCATCACTATCACCCTCGCTCGACGCAGAGAGCAGTTCCCGAAGCACCTCTGGGATCGGGGACGGCGCGCGGATGCCGACGTTGTTCTGCTCGAACATGCCGACCACCCTGCCGAACATCTCGGCCGTGAGGGCCTGCTCCAGGGGTGCCGGCAGGGGTCCCACGGAACGGGCGAAGGCCCTGCGCAGCAGCGCCGATGACTCTCCACACAGGGCTCGCAGGGTGCCCGGGAGAGCGGCGGCGGCGGCGCAGACGTTTTCGTCACCGTTACAGCCGTCGTCGGGTGTGCAGGGTGGCGGCGATGACCCATCTGTTTTGTCCCGGCCGTCCCTAGCGACGGCAACGTCCCACCAGGGCTCTTGAACGAAGTCCGCGAAAGGGGCACGGGCGGCGGAAATTTCGTCGTCAACGTCGAGATCTCCGCCGCTGCCGTCGGCGCCGGGCTTCTCCCGCACCTTCTCGGTAAACGCGGTCGCGATCTGCGCCATCACCTCTCCCACCAGGAGAAATATTTCGTTCGTTTGCATCGCGTGTATCTGTGTTGTTGACGCGGGGGGGGGGAGGAAAGTCAAATTCACGAAGGTTGCTAGCGTCGCCTACTATGCGGTGAAGGCCACAGGAGGAACAATCCTCGGAACGTTCTCCAAGGCGGGAACCCAGCCAACCAATCTGATACCATAACAGCCATCGAAGGCCATGAAGCTCGCCCCCCGTGGTCGTACTGTAGGAGTCGCACCCAAGACAGACAGCAGTATGCTATCATACGTGCACAGGAAAACTGGCCCCCATATTCACTATCTTCACGGTCTCTCAAGACTTTTCTCAAAATATTCCGTACACAAAACATGTTTCTTGTTTCTTCAACCCATGTGATGCCATACTCTATCACGTGCAACAGAAAACACGCGGGCACGCACCCACCCAAACGGCAACACACGGGTTCCCGCAGAAGGCGGCGAAACTTGCTCACCCGAAACTCAACAAGCGGGTGGCTTTGTGCCTCCTCGTCCGGCACGGGGCCGACGCAAAGGAGGCGGTGACACCGTTCCCAGTGCTCCGATCTGCAGCGGGGCGAGCAGTACACTTCACCGCAGCCCCCAAGACACTCGTACAACCCCGATAGCTCGTGCGCTGGCGCAGTCTGCAGCCGATCGTTCAGTGCCCGAAACGAATCACACAGGGAGAGGGAGAACCGGCGATGGTCGGGCTGTATTTAGGGGGAGGAGCAGGGAGCCAGGAGAGTGGCGTTCGCGCTACGTTTCTTGGCAGAGTGTACACAACGGTAGACACAAGAGGTCACACTTTTCCACGGAGACAAAAAAATACAGACAAGTCAGGCGCGAGGTTTACATGCCGCAAGACGCTGAAATCAGTGCTGGGGGTCAGTAGATGTAGCAATGGGCGCTCTGGCCTCACCAAACATACAAACGGTCGACACACGCGCTTCCAATCCTGTGGACATCAGACACTATCATCTCCGAGTGGGCGGGGTAGGGTACCAGTTTATCTGTCTCATTCATGCAAGTTTTAGTTTGGGCAAAGAGAACCGGCTGCTTTTGCTGTGTCACAAGAGCACAAAAAAACCCTTTTTCCATCGATTGGGAATCTTGCAACGATGCCACAAAGCAACAGATTATTCGGGAAAAGAATAATTGGCACCGACAGCAAGCAAAAAAACAAAAGACAATCGGTGCCAGAAAAGCCTTGCATGTAGGAAAACTCAAAGGACAATAAAAATTGCTGTGCTACGAAGGGAGAACCGAAAGCAGCCAACAGGCACCTCGACCACAGCGGTCCAGGTGACGCAAATGATCACTAGAGAGAGAACGAAAAAAGGGGGCTCAGCAAGTGAAGGAGTATTCATCACAAAGTTCCCAAAAGGGAACCGTAGATTATGAATAGCGTATATTATGTATGTTTTCTTCATCATCGCCCCCATATTTCATTTTCTCAAATCAACAAGAGAAGATGAAGTAAAAACAATCCGCCGCAACAGACTGCTGCCAATCACGCACCCACGACCTAGTGAGCCAGAATGACAATGTATAACAACGCCACGACGAGCAACGTGCCCACGCTTAAAACCACGCAGAGCCAGAACCGCAAACGGTGTTCATGCGTCGGCATGGGCCTAAGGTCACAGGACTCGAACAACACCAACATTCTCACAAATTGCTCCAGACTGGAGAACCAACCGGAACCAAAATGGGACCAAGCAAGCCAGCCATTCAAAAGACTCCAACGCTTGGGTGCAATCGTCTCTGAAAATTTCTGAAAATCTCGGTCTCGCTGCTCACCTGATCGTCGTAGCCGTTGGACTTCGAACACCGTTGGCGAGCCTTGTGTCGTGCGAGGCACTCAGGTCGATTGAGCCCCGTCAAATTATCGAGCTGTCAATGGGACCGTTCGATTGGCCCAGGACAGGAGAGTTGCACAAAGAGGGAGGCGCTGTCAGTGGTTCCAAGACAATGTTCGTCGCGGAAAATAAACCACCGTCAACGTCAAAGGTTAAGCTTCCCATCATATGCACATTTGACACGGCGATAAACAAGGCATCCCAGGCTGCTGTCTAGAATCGTCAAAGGTTAAGCTTCCCATCATACGCACATCGACAAACAAGGCATCCCACGCTGCCACAGTATCTCGATTCATTCGCTGAAACACAAAAAACGGTTTTAGCGTGCCCGACAAGTGCTCCTCGCAATTAACACAGTTCCTGAAGACAATCGAAGAGGCTTGGACAGTAGTTCTCGAGCCTTCCAAAAAGGTGCCCGATAATCGATGTGGTTCAATGCCACAGATGGAATCGCACCACAACTATAAACTGCCCGAATTGGTCACAACATGGACTGCCGCTGTAATACAGGGGACCGGAAACAAAAAAAGAGGAAGGCGTGCAAGGAGGACACATGAGCCGAGCGCACCACACGGTCGGGCTGGACGACCAAATACAGCAAGAACAAATCACAACGCCTCCGTATGACCGCTATCGCTATTGCCTCCACAACAAAAGTCGTTCCGGTCTCCGCTCAGTACCTTACAATACCCGTGCTGGTCCAGCTGACTCGGTTGCCTTCCGCGACACAGGAAAACAACACAAGAAGGATGCACACTTGTAGAAATCAGATGAAAAATAACCGCAGTCTTCCAAGTGCCCAAATTAACATTCACCTGCGAGATAACGTCGCCGGCGAAGCCGAGGCAGTTTCGGCAGACGGTCACGTCTTGGGCGTTGTCAAGGCTTTGCATGGCGACGAGTGGCCTGGTTTCCAGGGCGGTTCGGTGGACAATGGCAAGGGGGGAGGGGTGTTTGTGTGTGTACTCATAGTCGTGCATGCCGTAGTCGTTAGATCATTGAATAGTGGATAGATGCGAAACAAGCAAGACCATCAAGTTCCTTGCCCCGCTCACGGACTCGCGGTGCAGACTTCAACATCGGGGTTGGAGGTACATCGTTGAAACCAGGTCCAAGGGATGTGTTTAGTCTTTTATCAGCGATTGCATGTACTCGTGCGTTTTCAAATAATTCCCATGTCGTTGACTTTCATGCACTTCGCCATCTTTCCAAAACAAAGCTGGATGTTAAGCTCCGAATTGCCGTTTCAACCCATAGAAGGTCACCAAGGCGGCGCACTCCAGGACCTCCAGCCCGGAGGCCAGAGTTCAACTGTGAGCACACACACGCCAGGGGGGCCAATAGCGATCGGTACCTTTGACAGCAGCAGCAATGCAGCGTCAAAAGGCACGGAGCCAGTGGGAGAGCGGTGGTATGGAACGTATGGGGTTTGATCTCCGCGCCGGAGAACGCCTGACCAGCGCATGGAGCGTGCACTGTCGGCTGCCTGATGTCTGGCGCGGGTTGGGTGTTGGTAGCGAATCCTTTTTGTGCTCCCGAATCATGCGTGTGTGCATGTGAGAGAGAGAAATGATATTCGCACACAAGAAATGCCTGAGGGGAGGTCCTAAAAGGCCACATATGCTTGCGAAGGGGACACGGGAATTCATCTGACGGCTATTGCGCTGCTGCGCACCAACTCTGTAATCCGATCAGCGATTGAGAAGCCGACTCCGAAACCCTGTGCAGTTGGTTAGCTGATATCTGGGGGCAGAAATTGGACACGGCGAACCGACTTTGCGGCCTACTCACAGACGACCAAATTGGACGGGATAGAAGTGATGAGTGTACGTACTGCTGCTGTAGAAACAGAGCTGCTCGAAATACAGCGGTAGACATGTTCCGCAAATGGCGAAGCGTGCTCAGCGATTTGAAAGTATCCGCACCGACCCCAACGGAGCCTACAGAGCGTATATTAAGAGAGCGCGACGGATAACGCCGCACTTCTTTCGACATCCTTGCACATGACGCCAGTCATCCCTCATACCATTCGCATCATCCTCTCCCGACCGGGGCGTCCTATCAAGCCCGCCACTCAGCAGGGCAGCTATAGTTAGGGCTGCTAATGGCCCATTGAACGAAGTAAAGAAAAATATTTCAAAACGCGTCCCGGATCTTGCGGACGGAAAATGTTCGAGCCAACCAAATCTCGAGAACCGATCCTTGGGCACCGTGAAAACCGCATCACAGCGAGCTGAGGAGCACACACAACATACGCCTACAACAGAAACGATGGCGAACGAATCCTACATACACACGTGACGAGGGCGACGCCAGGAAAGCAGACAGTTTGCTTGGTCCTTGGAGGTTGAGACTTGTGTTGTTGTTGCTGCTGCTGACATGGGTGATGGGTGTCAGATGTGACGAAAAATATCCGTTGCATCCATCCAACTGAACGCGCTGTCTTCCATCACAAAATAAATGCTGGCGCGATTGACCTACTTCTTTTTGTGCTGCCGGCTTTGTATCTCAAGGTAGTGCACTGCAAACTCGCTTTTTGAAGACTCGCATCGCCTTCGATGTCAGCAAGACAAACGTTCCGAAAAGTGCCAAAATCACAGGTTTTTCGCAGTCATGTCGCGTTGTGTGAATGTAAGAAAAACAAAGAGTTTGCAGTACACTTTATAACGCCTGTAGCCAGGTGTATGCTAGATATCAACATCCGCGGCGTCCCTAGGAGCAAGGACGTGTCCAAAAACGAACATCCAAAGGCTGTCTTTTATCGAGTACAGTACTAGGGAACGGCGCCGTCGGATGGACAAAAATTGACACATTTTTTTCGGACGAAAAATTTCAAACAGCCGGACTTGGTTGTGTTTTTATTTTGTCATTATGACCCAGCGAATCCATCTCATCTATAGAAGAAAGTCTAAGATAGATTAGCAATGGATCCAAAGCGTCAGCGAAAGTTGTGTTTTCCCACAATTTTCCGAGCGGCACACCGCGATATTCCACATATTGTTACGCGCAAACAAGGCCGATTAGCACTCCCATCTAGAGTAGCCATCCACCATTCGAACTATGACAGACTGAAGATGAATATTTGGCGCTGAGTCTCGGGGCCGCGTCTCGACCAATGTCTCGCGACGTACCCAGTGCTGTGAAATGCTCAATGCGCTTCAGGAGCACGTGCCCCCGCCCGGCTCTGTCAACGTGGAAGGTCTACATGCACACCAGGCAGCGGAGCAACGGGCATCACATACCTACTAGCCACATAGTCGCCTAGATAGAGCATCTCCTACTCCCAACACAGAGATCGACACACACACAACACACCTTGGACGGGAGGGACAAGAGAGGCTTCATCTGCACCGCACATGTCGACGAGATGCCGGCACAGCAGATGCTGTTGAAAGAGCCGCGGGGCTGGTGTTAACAAACACGCGCTGCTGCTGCTGCTGCTGCTGCTGCTGCTGCGGCAGCGGCGGCGGCCGAGCCGTGTGTGTTGTGTGGTACAGACAGCTAGTGGCACGCGCGCACCTCTCGATCAAGATGGTTGCTCCGGCTTTCATGTCTGCCGAGGCGAACAGCCCCCGCCCTCGCCCGTCCGTCATGCCGATGGAAACCGCAGCAGCTGCTGCCTCGCCGTCGCAATCTTGCTGGCCGACTAGACTCATGGTGGAGGATGGCGTGGAGGGCGCTGCTGCTGTGGGAGTGCGGTTGTGCGGGCGTGGCAGCGTCAAGACCGCGCGAGGCCACAGAACTTCACAGTCTCGGCGTAAACAAATACAAGTTGGCGTGCATGCACACGAGAAAAACATCATCGATCATCAGCTCAGGAGGTACGACGGTGCGACAACTTCTCCGTATCAGGGGAGAGGAAGGGCAGCACTCGCCGGGACATCTCGAGGCAGGCACCATGGGGAAGGTCAACAAGCGCCAGCGCAAGTTCCTGAGCAAGAAGGTCCTGACGCACAGGAAGAAGGGTGGCGTGCGCCGCGACAACAAGTCAAAGGGCAACGGAGCTGCTGCTGGTGCTGCCACCGCCCTGGAAGCCTCTCAGGCGCCAGGGGCGCAGCACCGCAAGACTCTGCCTGACGGCGTCGACACCGCCGCCTTCCTAGAGTGCCCGTGGCTGAGCCGGGAGGCTTGTGCTGCCGCCGGGCGTGACGCCTGCGTAGCCCCATTCGAGCCCGAGGTGGCTCTTCTCGAGGGCGCTGCCACCAGCAAGCGCGGCAAGCGGGGAGGCGGCAGCAAGGGCAGCGGCAGCAGCAGCCTTACCGAAGAGGCAGCGCGTGCCATGGTCGGACGAGCCGTGGACGAGCGCTCGCTTGACGACCTCCTCCGCGTGGTCTGGGCGTTGCAGGAAGCAACAACGGCCGCGGGCGACCCTTCCTCCCCCGCCTTGCCAACGACATGTCATCAAGCACTGCGGGCCGCCCCCGGGTCAAAGGCCGCGGGCGCGCTCGTCAGCGAGGCCTCGTCGCGGCTGCACCTGGCGTTTCGCGCCCACCTGGGGCCCGAGCGCGACGAGGAGGATGGGTCCTCCGTGGAGGAGTGGGAGGACGCCGTCAGGGCGCACCGGCAGAAGCTTGAGAAGGCGGAGGCCTGGCCGCGGCTGGGCGGGGCTCTGCTGAGCTTCCTGACGTCGGCTTTGGACAGCGTCGAGACGGAGTGGGCAACGTCAAACTCGGTTGCTGTGGAGGGTCGTGCCGACAGCAGCAAGCAGGGGAGTTCGGGCGCTACTTCTGCTTCTCTCGTGGATGGGCTAGACCGCATGCGGAACCACGTCCCGCTTCTCTTCCCTTTCCCGCGGCTTGCGCGCCGATACCTGGCGTTCCTGCTCGACGTTCTCCAGACGTCCGACAACACGGCCGCGCTATCCCTGGCCTTCGTCCGGTTGTACGAGCTGTCCACCTCTCAGCCGATGCCCTTCCTGCACGATGCCTTCAAGGGGTCTTACCGCTGCTACCGCGCGGCGGCGGAGCGCATCGGCGGGGGGAGAGGGGCGGGGGTGATGGCGAAGGGCGACGGCGCTGGATCCTCCCTGCCGCTGCTGCGGGAGTGGTTCGCGGAGCTCTTCGGCGTGGAGAAGCCTTCTGCCTATCTGGTGAGAGCTTTGAGTTGGTTCGGGGTTGTTCCGCTGGTGTGGATTTCGCCAAGAAAAACACTTCAATAGCGATAACATTTGTCACACTCTTCGGAAAGCGGTTGAAGATTGTTTGGTGCGTGTGTCACCTTGGGTGTGCCGCCGCCGCCCGTGCTCGCTGTTTGCTCCCCCTCAATGGGTGAGAACATTCTGTTTGGTGTTGCCGCGTGAACTGGCCCTTCTTCAGGTGTCCTGGAGACCATGCTGCCATCACAGTCCCCGTCTGTGCCACCATGCTTGCCACGTGTGACGTTTACCCACGCGCTCTCCGCGATGCCCCCACGTGCGCATGATCCGAGTCCTGTTCGAGTGCAATATCTGTCTCCCCTGTCCCCCGATGCGCCCGACCACGTACACTAGAGGCCCCTGTTTAGTGCTGGCATGTGCCCAGAAAATTCACCGGCACCATACCGGACCGGCGCTATTCAAAGTATCGAGAATAACATGGAAATTCAGTGTGTGCACGCCGAAAACACCGGGACTACACCCTAAACCGGCACTAAACAGGGACCTCTACTGTATGCCTGACACCTCGAATACTCCTGACGCCCCTCTCTTGGCCACGCAGCACGCGTACGTGTACATCCATGATCTCGCTCGCGAGGCGGTGGAGGCGGCGGCGGAGGTGAAGAAAGGAGGCGGGAAGGCCAGGGACGCGGGGCCGGCACTGAGGAGGTTGCGCTCGTGGGGGTTCTTGCAAAGCTTGCAGGTAGGGAGGGGGACGGGGGCTGATGGTGCACGGTGTTGTGCTTGCGTGTGGCTTGTCGTCTGTGTGTTCTTGTGATTTGTTTGGAAATGTGGTGGAGCCACAAGCCGTCGTCTTTCCTGATCGTACGAGTGTGGCTGTGAGCCCGCGTGCAAAGTTTTCTTGCATGCGTAGGTGGACCGATCTCTCTCGGCTACCAAAGAGAGACAGACAGACAGACAGACAGACAGGCAGGCAGAGAGGCAGCGAGGGAGAGAGAGAGAGAGAGGCACACCGAGAGAGAGAGGATAAGACGAGCGAGGTGTGTTGAATCGATTTTTTTCGCACAAGCTGTGTTTCGTCGTTCCTCCGAGGCAAGGTTTGTCTCATGGACCCCCCCCCCCCCCGTCCGCCATCCGCCGTGTGCATCCCGGAACTTTTCCACCATGACTCCTCTCCTGCTAGCTCTGGACTAGCGTCGTCACGGCGCACCCTGCCAAGTCTTCTCTTGGCCCCCTAGTACCTCCTCTGGCCAAGGTGCGTTTGGGTTGACTCTCCTTGCATTCTCGTGGCAACATTTTGACGGGCTTGCGCCAGCGCCGAGAGAGATGGCTACGCGTACGGGATTTGTGGTTTAGAGCATCCTCGCGGCGGTAATCTTGTTGTTGGGTGTGTCGCTGTTACGCCGTTCCCCTCTATTTCCGCCAACTGTTTTTGCCTGGAACGTCGAAAACAGCAGCTTTGTTTGCTGTCGGGGCCGAGGAACTTTTACACGCACGTCGTTTAGGGTGAAGGTTTCGTTCCGACCACGCCGAACTTAAATCGCGACTGCTGGTTGTTTGTGAAATACTTCTTGGTTATGGCCGCTACTTGGTTCCGTTAGCCGTGCTGCCGACAACTTCGGGCTTCGCCGTGCTGGTGCTGGCTAGTTGTGAGACCACGCCTCTCCCCCCCTAGCAAAACGACCAACTGTTCTGGACAGCAAACCCTCATTTTCTGACCACGCCCCACGCGATCCGTCGTCCTCTCGTTAACCAGGCGCTGGAGATCACGTTCCAGCTGTCGCCCGGCCTCTACGGTGCCCCCCGCACCCTAGCTCTCGCCCGCTCTGCGCAAGACCTGGCTGCCGCCGCCGGCGTGTTCCTGCCGACCTCTCACCACCTCGTCGGCCTGCTGGAGCTATTGCATGCTCGCGAGGCCCGCCCTGGCTCCACCGCCTCCTCCGCCGGGGGACCGGCGGGTGGGGAGGAGGCGGGGCCGGGGGGGCTGGCTGTGGTTAATGGTGGCGGTGGCAGTTCCAAGAGGCAAGGACGGGGAGCGGCGGCGGCGGCGGCGTTAGATCTGTCGGCGATGGCCGGTCTCGGGAAGGAAGATCTCAGGGTAGTGGAGGTGCGGGCGGCGGTCTCGAGAGAGGCGGCGGGTTTGGTAGCGAGGGAGGCGGTGTGCTACCGCTGGAGCGCGGGGATGCCGGAGCTGTGCGCGAGCACGCGGGCCCGGCTGGGCCGCCTGCTGGACGGGGGGGATGGGGGGGGGGGCGCGGACGGCGCCGCCGGGAGGTGGCGGGCGAGGGTGAAGGCCCTCCAGACGTCGCTGGGGAAGTCGGCCGCGGAGACCATGGCGAGGAGGGCGAGAGGGAGCAAGCATCCCGGGGAGGCTGGCCCGGTAGACACGTTCAGGGGCATGGTGAGATACATACCTCTCGCCACGTTTCTGTGTTCGTGTTTAGTTTTGATCGTTGTTAAGCCCGGAATATTTTGTTGTTGTTTTTCGGGGGCGTGATGATGTGGCTCGCGTTGTTGGTGCATTTTTGTAGTAGTGAGGCTCGGCATGACCGCCGTGGCGGTGGGTTTCAGTGCGGCGTACTTCCGTTGGAATTCGAGTTCGCCTTTAGGACGCCCCCCCCCCCCACCCCCCCACCGTTGGGCGGGCCCCCCTTTGTAAAAAAAAATCCTGCCTAGGGC